GAGTTCCGGTTTTTGTTGGGCCACTCAGAGTCTCGATCAAGTCAATCCCAGTCAAGTTTCTGCAGCGAGGCATACCGAGATATGTCACACTCCAAGACAACCAACTGTTTCTTCATTTCGGGCACTTCTTTTTCAACCGCTCGCTTCAACTTTTTCTGGAGGCTGTTCGCTTTTCGCAAGTCTTCTTCTATGACCTTGCCACATTCAGTTAACAGCTTCGAGTTGATGAACAAACTCTCAATCATCCATTTCAAGGGTAGACCAAGCATGGCTACACTACCTGCTATCATCATGAAGCCGGAAGTCGTCAACCCTTTCACTTCGGTATCTGTACTTTCTTTAGCTGGATGCCAGCGACGGTTCCAGAGTTGCTCGTCGGCATCTCTCTTGACGCTGGGGAGAAGGCTGGCTGGATTGAAGTAGTAGTACAGAACTGAACGAGTAAAACAAACGTAACAGCATGAAGTTATATTACACTAAGAGAACTTCCTTTCTCGAATGATCTCTCGAATCATACTGGAGCATAGGTTAGTTAGGATCCGCGGAAGGGAGGGGGGCCTCTCATATAAAAAGTACGGAGTTGCTAGCCGGAAAAATTGAAAAGAACCCCTGAGAGGTATACCAAGATCCTAGTTTGTGGGCGTGGCTTCAACTGTTTTTCACCCCTAAGAGGTGTACGTTCCAATTCTCCAAACAACACACTAAATGACGTCGACTTTTTTTTCGGCTCAATACCCTAATAGGTACCACGAAAGATCCCGTTGTGGACCTAATTAGGCTGAACGTCCTGAGAGGTACCAAACCCGCTTCGTAACCTCTAAAAGGCACGACGAGCAACTCCGTCCTTTTTATATTGGAGTCTCGAACTGGGGAGGGGGGGGGGTTCACTACACAAGGAAAGATGCCTATTGGATGAGAGAATTTCATTTTATATCACAAAATTCCCCAGTTAAAGACCAGTACAGATAAAATCCTTACCTCCTGCAGCTAAGACGGCTGCAAAAACAAATCCAATGATATGTACGAATTTAAGCCATCTAATNGGGGGGGGGGTTCACTACACAAGGAAAGATGCTTATTGGATGAGAGAATTTCATTTTATATCACAAAATTCCCCAGTTAAAGACCAGTACAGATAAAATCCTTACCTCCTGCAGCTAAGACGGCTGCAAAAACAAATCCAATGATATGTACGAATTTAAGCCATCTAATCGCCGCTCTGAGACGCTCCATATCACCTTGTACATCACTCAGACCATCTTCACAATTCCCCAGGTCACGCTCGGCGGTAGTCAACTGGATTTCTAAATCCTTGCTCTTGGTACTTGAGATCTTGTAGTCATTTTCCCGGGTTTTTCTGATCTGCGTAATTTACACGGATGACAAACAGAAACATGCATTAGCAATTTAGAGTTACACCTGAAAATAGCAAGTGAACTTTTGCTTCAGGCTGAAACTGACGTCCATTAAAAAAGCTAAATAGCAAAGTATTTAGAAGATTCAAGGGTCAACGTTTTAATTTCATTTTTCATTTGTATTTACAGGATTTTGGCAAAGAGAGGACTGCTTTAAAGACTCGACTACGCATGCAGAGAATCTCAGTGCATAAATATTCAAAAAATGTAAATATGATTATTATTTACCTACGAAACACGGAGGGGCTCTCATGAACTCCTTATAAAAGTGTTCATGCATCGGGATAAACTAAAACCAAAGAGTCCAGAGAAAAACTCTCGCAACAAGGCGAGAATACGAACTCAGGCCAACTTGATGGAAGGCGAGTAGTTTGACCACTACCCAAGCCTTGCTTCCCTGTCTAAGACTCCAAATTTAATTTTTCACAAGGAAATCAATACAGAAGCTGACAGAAATTTAAACAACAAGGCTTTACCTGATCTTCAACCTCCTCAACATTTTCTCGGACTTTCTCGTGGATCTCGTTTACAGCCTTCAGGTTTCTCTGCACCTCACTTAGTTTGGTACGTTTTTCTTTCCAAATCTCTGACACCATGTTGAATACATGTAGCAGTCTGGTCCAAAAAAAGAACAGAACGGCCTTGACCCAAGGACTCGTTGCACGAACTCGCAAACTCTGGAAGACATTGTGCAAGTGTGTCTTCCAATTCGACTGGCCTTCTGGTTTTTCCAGCTCCTTGAACTTTTGATGTAACACTGCCAGTGCCTCAGGGTTGTCTACGATACTGCGCAATAACTCTGAATCGCTTGATATTTTGTGGCCACCTATTTCTTGTTGAGGGTGTTTAAGTGACTCCAAGGACTCGTCTGAACGGTTGGTAAAATTATCCTGGACTCTATCTTCCATGTTTTGAGTCAGTAGCTGTCCTGTCAATCGGTTAGGACTGCATTTAACAGATCAGAAATAATTACAGCTCAGTTTACCGTCTTTACCGAATCATGCAATGTCGAAAATTCCATCAAGTCATAGCTTTCGAAGCTTCCCACTGATTTGTGGTAAAAACCTTATTTTACCAAGATTAAGACCGGAGAAATCAATTTTAAACTCGCTCGTTTTTAGCATTCAATCATAATAGCACTCTGTATGTTTGTTGCCAATGGCCATATACACTGACAATCTAATAATAGTCTAATACTAAAATACCAGTTTTGTTTACCACTACTAAATTTGCTTACGTGTAAAAATTAACTGAGAAACTACCAGCATTGAACTGAGGAAAAACCCGATATGCAAGCGGTCGCCGGAGTCTTTTTTGTCAATTTATTCATTTGTAAAGGGGTATTAAATTGTGTCTCCGTATTCATTACGTAAGGTTCGACGATTTGCAGTCAAAATATTTCAAAACAAATAAAAAAGGTTATCAAAATATTGCGCGACCGCTGATAAACGGGACATTCATTGCACATCTATTTTTACAAACACTACACAAGTACGGTATTCGGATCGACTTTTACAGAAATAAAGATGAACGTTTTCATCTAATTGACAAAAATGTTAAGAAGTTTCCAAGTTCAGAAATGTGTTGAAGTAGACTTCGAGGCACATAACAAGACCTTGCTTACGAATAAACCTTATCATATGTTCGAAATCTGAGCAATTTATTGATAGAAAAGCTAAGAAACTAGACAAAGGATTGCAATGACCAAATTGGGGGATGTAGCTGCCGCTAGAAACCGTACAGTCGAATTTTAATTTCCCATATATTTGTCTATATTTGATTCCAGGGAGTGGCGCGAGCTTTTGAGCGGCGTCCAAGTTCGCAGGAAAAAATCTATTATAGAGAGGTGAGTGGAAAATTTAAAACGCGACTGGACGCCTTCTAGCACAGTTACTTCCTGCAATTTNGTCTACGATACTGCGCAATAACTCTGAATCGCTTGATATTTTGTGGCCACCTATTTCTTGTTGAGGGTGTTTAAGTGACTCCAAGGACTCGTCTGAACGGTTGGTAAAATTATCCTGGACGCTATCTTCCATGTTTTGAGTCGGTAGCTGTCCTGTCAATCGGTTAGGACTGCAGTTAGGAGATCAGAAATTATTACAGCTCAGTCTACCGTCTTTACCGATTCATGCAATGTCATGGCTTTCGTAGCTTCTCACTGATTTGTGGTAAAAACCTTATTTTATCGAGATTAAGACCGGAGAGTATTCAATCACAATTGCACGCTTTGTGTTTGTTGCCAATGGCCATATACACTGACAATCTAATAATAGTCTAATAATAAAATACCAGTTTTATTTACCTCTACTAAATTTGCTTACGTGTAAAAATTAACTGAGAAACTACCAGCTTACAACTGAGGAAAAAACCGATATGCAAGCGGTCGCCGGAGTTTTTTCGTCAATTTATTCATTTGTAAAGGGGTATTAAATTGTATCTCCGTATTCATTACGTACGGTTCTAGGATTTGCAGTCAAAATATTTCAAAACAAATAAAAAAGGTTATCAAAATATTGCGCGACCGCTGATAAACGGAACATTCATTGCACATCTATTTTTACAAACACTACGCAAGTACGGTATTCAGATCGACTTTTACAGAAATAAAGATGAACGTTTTCATCTAATTGACAATAATGATGAGAAGATTCCAAGTTCAGACATGTGCTTAAGTGACTTGAGGCACATAACAAGACCTTGCTTACGAATAAACCTTATCATATCATGTGCTCGAAATCTGAACAATTTATTAATAGAAAAGTTAAGAAACTAGACAAAGGATTGCAATGATCAAATTGGGGGATGTAGCTGTCGCTGGAAATCGTACAGTCGAATTTTAATTTCCCATATATTTGTCTATATTTGATTCCGGGAAGTGGCGCGAACTTTTAAGCGGCGTACAAGTTCGCGGGAAAAAATCTGTTATAGAGAGGTGAGTGGAAAATTTAAAACGCGACTGGACGCCTTCTAGCACAGTTACTTCCTGCAATTTGGTTTATGGAATCCTTTAACTGACATCTTTACTTTGCTCTTCGTAAATTCGGTTCAGAATTAAATTTTAAAATAAGAAAATTATTTGCCATCCGATTCCATACATACACCGTAATTTCTCTGGCTGTTGCCTAATCATCAAGATGGCAGTCCAACAGTTATAAGGTCCATAGAGTGCGATTAGCTTTCATTTTCTTTTTGCAGCACTGATCTGAATTTTCCAATTTTTTCCACATTTTAAGCTTTTGCTCGTGCCACGGCACGCACCGTCAAAATGAAAATGGAAAGCGGGCCTTTCCCCGTGTTTAAATAAACATTCTCTGTAAACGTTTTCGGTGTATCAGTCGGAATTCCGAGAAACAGTCCCTCTTCCTCGATCCTGTTCGATTAAATTATACCTGCACGTTTCTTTATTTTGTCAAAAAGTGCTCTGTTCTATGTGTTATAGAAGGATAAAGCGTGAAAGATAAATCAATGAACTTATGCGGAACAAATTTAACGATAAATCTGACCCGGTGAATAGCGTTTGTTGGAAAGGCCTGCAGACTGTTAAAAGTACTAACTACAGCAGTTACCTCAGTTTGATATTTGCTACATGGCTTGTTTTATTCCTTTTGGGGGCTGGACATAATTTGATTTTATGACCAGAAATATGCCTGCTCTTTCTCTCTCTTTCGTTGATGAAGAAAATATCGGGCGAGTCTGACGCCGTGTTAAAATAAAGAGCTATAATACTTGTTTATTTCTAGGAAACGCCGTCGCAACACAGTTCCACATTTTGACCTAAACCTCGATAATATTCACTTAAAACTCTTTTCCGATCACGTAACGTTTCCTTTAACAGGTTTTTGGAAATACGACACCAAACAAATACAACTGAGAACTTTGTATACAGCTTGCGAGGGAACTGTGCTGTTTATATAATTTTCAAGACAGAAATCTTGCCTCATTGATGAATATTTTCAACTGGCGACCGAAGTTTTGAAGATGGCGACGGACGTCCAAAAACGTTTCGCCGATATGTCGACATGAAAGACTGGTTAAAACAACCAACTCTTGAAGCGTAAGTACAGAAAAAACCAATGGAGGAAGCACTAAGCTGACTTATTCCATGAAATCAGCGCACAAAATACAACCAAAACACTATCAGTCTGATAATTTTCGATAGAATTTTAACAAGCTCTTACCTTTATAAAGTCGGCTGTAATTAGAACGGAAGAACCTCTCTATTCAACGACCACAAGTTTGGTCTCGGTCACCAATCGAACAAATACTTAGGTTGGCAAGTTTCAGTTTCGATCGCAATAATTTTGAATATATTAGGAAAAGCTAAATTTGGACCGTGTCCAAAGTGACTAATTTCCAAAGAAATAAGGATTCTCGGAATCAACCATGACTTATGACCATTTATATTTAAACTTATTTTAAACACACACCTCGAGGAATATAAGTACCGTATCGCATGCGGCTTTTATTAAAACACGTTGGCCTTTAGCACCAGTCCTTATGCCACTTTCTCAGTTTATCTATTGGAGCCTGTAGTTTATAAGAAATGGTTGTTGTGGTTGACGGTCATATCTATATATATAGTGTTCTTAAACCTAAAACAGTAAGATAAAATAACTATTAATAACTCGCTAAAGACTCAGTAACTCACGCTATTTAGCACTGCTGTGCTCAGTTAAGGACACTCTAAATCGAGAAGCAAATGTTATTAACAGAATTGAAAACTTTTTAACCCGAAAACAAAAGGTGATCGGGGATTAGAAAGTTATGTTAATGCATGGTGCCCAGTTCTTTCGCAGATGTTACCATGGGCTTTGCGTGGATGTTTTCGCGGAGGATGAAAATGCGTGTAACCTGCTTGGGCTGTCCACGCGAGCAAAATCTACGTCATAATATTGGCTAGACTGCGAGCAGTCTCTCTTTTGCTCGAAAATCCGTGGGGAAGAACGCAAATCAAGTGAACGTGCGAGTGTGACTGCGAGCGTGACTGCGAGCGTGACACACGAGCGGCGATCGAGTGGCGAAGNGAGTGGAAAATTAAAACCGCGACTCGACGCTTCCTAGCACAGTTAATTCCTGCAAATTTGGTTTATGCTATCCTTTGTCTGGCATCTTTACTTTGCTCTTCGTAAATTCGGCTCAGAATTAAATTTAAAAATAAATTTCTTTGCCATCGGATTCCATGCAGACACTGCAATTTTCTCCGGCTGTTACCTACCCGCCAAGATGGCAGTCCAACACAGTTATAAGGTCCATAGAGTGAAATGGACTTTCATTTTCTTTCTTCAGCACTGAAATTTCCAATTTTCCTCACACTTTAAGCTTTTGCTCGTGCCTCGGCACGCCACTGCCAAAATGAAATGGAAAGCGGGCCTTTTCCCGTGTTTAAATAAACATTCTCAGTAAAAGTTTTGGTAATCAGTTAGAATTCCGAGAAACAGTCCCTCTTCTTCGATCCTGTTAGACCTAAAGAGGAGAAAGTATATCGAATCGGCTGTTCAGTTACATTATACCTGCACGTTTCTTTAT